ACTGCGAAGAAAACAATACAGAAACGAATGATGCTGATCTTACAACTTATGCCAGTTCAAAGCAAGGGCACTTGCTGAAGAAGAAAAAAAGAAAAAAAAAAAAAAACAAAAAAAGTTTGGACCCCAAACGTCCTGTATCTTATGTACAAAAAAAAGGAAAAAAAAAGAAAAAAAAAAAGAGTGCAAGTGATTTTTTCTATCAGACAGCGGAGCACCCCTTTGCTTCACATGCAACTTTAAGAAGGTTTCCTATACTATACATATATATACGTTCTGGTTGGCGAGTCCAGCTAATCAGAGAAAGTCTCTGCATGTTCTAGTGTTAGTAACTAATTTTTATATAGTTAATGTAGGGTAAAGTAGAGTGCATTAAGACACAATATTGTAATCCCTATTCCAGGCACTTGCCTTTAAACTATGTTTGTTCGACCCTTCAGAAGGGTTTCTACTACTGTCCTATACAATCAAGTAACTGAAATTCTTGGGAAGACACTTTGCTCCTCATCTTTTCCCTGAAACAATGTTTTGTTTTGTTTTCTTAATTTGCACGAAACAAAAAAAAAAATTCCATATCAATGTGCCTTGCCCTGGATAGCGATTATTTGTGGAATTGTTGCACATGTTCCTATATTGAAAGGGGTTTTTCCCTAGTCAAGCATTTGGAGACACTTTTTGTAAATGTGACTTTTATGTCAGCCATTGTCAGTTTCAACATCTAGAATTAAATAGGATGTTAGTTGTTCCGCAGATAGGAGTAGTGTTTATTGTCCTGTATGGTCAGTGGCAGTGCTATTCTGAGATCTGTAGATGCTAGATTATCAGTATTTTTGGATGTTGCTGCATTTTACATTTTATTTGGAGTCTTCCTTTTTGTTTTGTTTTCTCCCAGATATATGAAAATATGCAATACCTGCTTATATCATGTAGAAAAGCTTAGCAATTATTAATTTTTCTTTTATTTTTTTTTATTTGACCAAAGTTGGTGCTGCACTTGACGCAGTGTGTTTTAGGTGTTTGTCTTTGTACTTTTGTGATTTTGAATGCACATGCAGGAAGGGCTCTTCTTAGAGAAGCAGTCAAACTGTGAAGCACTAAGCTGAACCCTGCTTCAAGCAATTTTTGTTTTACAACTGTTCCTTTCACAAGCAAGCCTTAAAAAAAAAAACTTCCTTTTTCTTCAGATCCCACACCCATTTTTATTAGCAGACTGCAATCAATCCACATTCAATAAAAGTATATAATGCCCATTTTTATATGCACGTTTTTAAACTTCCAAGTTCTGAAAATTGTTTACTGGTTATTCTCTATTTAAGGAAAAAATAAAATGTTTTGGATTTTCATATGTGTCTGATAAGTGGTTGAGTAGTCATTTTGCTCTATTGTATTGTGTGATTGTTAGTATATGGTATCACATCCTCTAGCCAGCATCCTTTGCCTTCCCTATAGCACTTAGCTGGGCATTACTTTATTAAGACATATGTGCACTAAAAAAAAATAGCAGCTTTCAGTGCTTCACAGTGAAGGGAAAAAAGCCTAGACAAACATTTTGTCAGAACCTTGCTATGAGACAAGGTATTACCAGTAAATTGGTTGTATATACAATAAAATTGCACCCTTTTTTAAACAAAACAAACTAAGCAATAGTTTGGGCAGTTAGTTGTTTTTAGTGAGCATGTTGTAGTCATGGCTGCAAAGAGAGAGAATTAAACTGCCCACTCAGAAGATATGTAATTTGTATGTTGTATAGTTTTATTGATTACACTGATTTATTCTACCCTATTTTATAATGCAGGACTTTTGTAATGTTGTTTAAATGAGGAAAAATTTCTGTCAAATTAGCTTAGTGGAATTTCTGATTGTTCGTTATAAAGGCAGCGTTCATAGAATTGCTTTTTTTTTTTTTTTTTCCTTTGGGAACTGGATTTAAGTTAAAAACTTTCCTGTTTCCTTTTTGTATGTATTTAAATACAGTTATTTTTCTTCTCTCAATGGTATAGCATATTCCTATGCTTGAGAAGTATAGGCTACTGAAGAACCATTGTAAATGGACATTACAGGTATGCTGTATTTTTGAAGGTATTTTGTCATATTAAGTTTGATGACGCTAAAGTTAGGGAACTCTGAGCAGAATTGCGAGAAAAAAAAATGTTTTAAAGGCTTTAAAACATTAGGTAGGCGGTCAAGGGTGTTAACCAACAGGGGTTGTAAAGTATTACACACTAAATTAAATTTTCGTTCACCTTACTCTCACGCAGAAAACACAGCAGTTCCGTTCTGTGCAGGTGTAGAGAACAAACAGTGTTTTAGTCCTCCGAGTCAAGCCAGGAGCGGGGAGCCGAGCAGGAGGGATCCCGCTCGGGGTGTGCGGGCTGCAGGCAGGAGCAGGCAGGAGTCGGGCCAGCGGCCGTAGCCCCCGACTCCGCGTCAGGTTACGTTCCCGCTCCCCTCCGAGTCGCTCCGGTCGTTCTTTTTGAGTCAAGCGAACAACTTTTTTCTCCCCGTCTCCTTCTCTCCAGAAACCGTCAGACGCACAAACACTCTGACCTGTATCCACCCCCCCACCCATCCAAATTTAAAGCCCTAGAAATGGCTTAGCGTGAATTGACTTCTTCTCAAGTTAATTCCTTTCTTTTTTCCTCTTTTTTTTGAGCGAGGGCACTTGCTTTTATCATGCCGCACACCCCAGCAATGCCATTATTATTTATTCTTCTTCCTTTATAATAAAAACTTTCGGGCTTCGAGTTTAGGCAGCCATGGTACACTTTGTCCCTGTTGCTTGTTCCCCCTCTCCTTAAGGTCGAAGGGGAAAAGAAACACCAAGTTTTCTCAACTCCACAGTATTCAGTCAGCCCACAGGAATATGCAAAATCCCTCTAACATTTTTTTTTTCTTTCTCTAGTTCTCTTTGTTCCGTATATTTGCAGCTTTGTAGTAACAGTGTTATAAAATATTTACTGTACAAAAATACAAAAAAACCCAGATACATAGCCTAAAACAGTTTTTTTTTCCTTGTGGTGAATTTTTTTTTTAAGAATGTCAGTTAATATTGTACTTTGCATTGTGTCTCTGGAAATATCTTTTTTTTTTTTTTTTGGTAGAAGGCCTCCATCGAACAAAATTAAAACCATAACCGGCATGACAATGTAAGGAGAGCTTCAATGGCACCTAAACAATAAATAAATAACAAAATAAACCTCATGAGGTCTGTCGGAGGCAGGTCTTGTGAAGTTAACACTGCCTGCTAGGCAGGATTTTCATTAAATCAAGCTTACAATGCCAATTTTGTCTTGAAGTCAATGCATGTATTACTGTTTGACACTAAACCCAGCTATGCCATCATCAAGTCCAAGGCTGCGCAATAGTCTAATTAGTATCGAGTACATTTTCCTTTTATTTTTTCCAATAAAAAAGCAGTGGGATGAAAATTGCTTTGATATATAGCAGGTAACATTGAAGCTATTCCATAGCACTTAACTGTAGTGAATACTGTGTCACCAATTCTGAAATCAATTTAATGTTTAATGCAAATCCATTACATGGTGCTATTACAGGCTGGCAAAATGATTTACAAAAATGTGACAACTTGGGCTCAATTCACTCTGCTTTCCAACAATGTAAATGCATAGCAGTGTTTATCTGCATGAAAACTATGCACTAATCTATCTGAAAAAAAAAAGAAAAGAATATATCAACTTTGGTATCTACTTTCCGTTTACTTCGATCCTTGCCTTTTCGGTCATTGTTATAATGCCAGCTTTAGGACAGAAAGAATTATAAGAAAACCAGCATAATACCTGATATATTAAAATGTAGTGCCTGTGAAATCTGTATTATATTGCTCTTCTGAAGTAAGATTTTTCTACACCGGTAGCCTTCGCTGTCTGTCAGAACCTTCTGATATAGGTGATGTAAAATAACCGTACAATATTAATGCATGCTATTCCATAATGCTTAGTAGCTGTATGAATATTACTCAAAGTTATGTTAGTCTTTTTTTCTGACTTGGTTCTTGTCAGATAGGTTTAAAGATATTTCACTGAGAACGCAAATTCTGTCTTTTCTTGATTTGGGGTGTTTTCAGTATTTTGGAGGTATACATTTACTTAAATTCAGTATTACTTGTGTTTTGGGTTTTTTTTCTTTTTTTTCTTTTTTTTTCCTTTTCTTTTGTTTTTTTCCCCCCCTAGAGGGCAGGACATGGTGTTTGAGACCAGAAAGCCGTGCCTGGTAAGATTTTCGTCTCGAAAAGCTACCCTAAGAATTCAGAGAGCTTGCTCTGAAGAACAAGACGCGTAAAGTTCAAATTTAAGGGACGGTCCTTTAAACCCACAAATGAGATTGAGCTCACGTTGCGAGAGATTTCTTAATGGGCAGCGGTTAACCAGGTACCCATGCTTGACCCTTCTTCACACCAGACTTCCTCATATAGAAAGAAAAACCCTTTAAAAAAAAAAAAAAAGAAAAAAAGAAAAAAAAAACCTCATGTGGTTGTTTAGTTTCATGCACAGTTGCAATATTTTTCTTCAGACAAACTCTGTACAAACTTTGGGCCCGATTCATAAAAGCTCCTTTGCTATTAACACGGGAGGCTGGTGGGCTTTTGTCGTCCAAATTGAGGATGGCTTTCTTTCCAAGCGCACGCTTTGGCGAGCCCCGCTTTCCTCGGCACGCGCGCCCGCTGGCTTTCCTCGCCCTCCCCTTCCCCTCTCCGCCTGCCCTAACCCCAACGGAGAACACGAACGGACGGGAAGGGGCCGTGGAGGAGGCGAGGCAGCGCAGGACCATGCTCCGACACCCCAGAGCCGCAGGCTGGCAGGAGAAAAGGGGGAGACAGGGGAGAGGACGACGCCGTGCCGCGCTCTGGCCGATGCCAGGGCTTTGTAACACGGTGGTACGAGGCTCCTCGATTACAAAAGAGATCTTGTCCGTACCAGAAAAAAAATACGCTAGATCGCTACCTCTGAGCTCTAGAGAAAACCTTCGTAAAGGCAAACACTTGTACACAATGTGAACTTTTGTACTTCTATGCTTTTTTTTAGGGAAGACTATTTTCCACTTAGTTAATCTTCTATGCTCGAGCATGAACAAAAACAATTGTGTTGGGTGAAATCCCCCCTTTTGTCTGCATCCACAAAGTAATATGAGGGGGAAAAAAAAAAAAAACCCCGAAGATGAGTTTCTAGTCGGAGCATGGTAGGAAGAGAGTGCCCGGCTTGGCATCCGCCGCCACTGCCTGTTCTTGCTGCCGGCGCCCGGCTGCGACTGCTGCCGTGGGGAAAGGTCTGCGAAATTCTTTGCTTTGGAAATACAATCAAGGAGAAATCTCCATTTTGGCCGGCTGTGCGGTTTCTCCACGCAGCTGAGCTCTGACCTAGCCCTGCCCTGCTGCCTGAGACTGGCCCAGCCAAGTCCCTCAGCGTCAATTTGAAATTCGGGGCGCTAAAATTTCCGCCGGCCGTGTGAAAGATCTGCTGCAAATTCACTTGACACCCGTGTTAATACCATGTCGTGTTCATTTTTTTTTTATGAGTCAGGCCCCTCGTGCCTCTAGTATACTTGTATTGACTCTCATAGTTACCATTTTAGTTTTACTGTGTTCTGTGAAAAAAATTGTAATTGGTTGAGAATCACTGTGGGCATCCATTCTTATTCAACTAAGTCTCCGCAGGTTTTTTGAGCTGGTGTGGATTAGTTTAACTCTTGTATTCAACCATTAGTGCTACCACCTTCTCACATTACAATACAATTACTGGAAGCAAGTACTGCATTTCCTATGCAACAAAAAAGGAAAATAAAAAATTGCTAATGCTAACAGGCTGTGTTGTTATTTACTTTCAGCTGGGCACAGAGGGGGTGTGCAGCTGTAGGGCCGTGGGCATCGCCGCCGGTCACGGCATCGACCTCTCCAGGGCGGGTTTGGGGGTTCCCGGGCAGTAGCTTCATCCCAAATCAGGGGAGTGTTTGGTTAAATTGAGTCACTGCTGTCACATCGACCATACTTTCCCGTGCTGTTGGTATCCCGTCAACACAAAATCGTTCCTCACACGGTAACAGATTAATCTTCAGCAAACCTCTGCAGATTAAATCATCCGGAGTAAAGACACGAAGCACATCTAGTAAAGACTAACTGAGGCAATTAATTCTGCAAATGCTACAATATATCTTCAAATGTAGCTAAACTTTAAGAATATTACCGCATTTCCTAAGAGCCCCAGCACCCGATGTCAGCCGCGTTTTGGCCATCGCTGTTGCAGATGGCCTCGCAGCCTGGCCGCGCAGAGCTGCCCCACTCAGCCCCGGCTGTACTGCGCCGCTCCGCGAGGCTTCAGTGGGCGATGGACAGGAAAAAATAAGTTTCTTAACAACCTTGAAAGTTTTCTTTGAAGTTTTTCACGGTGCGACGCCTTTTTCTTAAAAGATCTCTGCAGAAATTAATATTTGCGGAAAGGAATTTTTTGCATTTAAGCCATTCTACCTGTTTTCTACCTGCAAGCAGGCGCGGCGGCTGAGGCGAGGGCCGGTGCAGCTCTGCGGTGTGGCCTTGGGGGCAGGAGACCGAGACCACTGCGACGCCCAGCCCTCCCCAGGGCAGCACCAGCTCTTCCATTTTATTTTGAGGGAAATGAGTGTTTTCTAACAAATAGTTGCCTGACACTCATAAACCACTGGTATTTCCTTTCTCACACCTCCACTTAGTTTCGGTTTTTGCTACGAGGCCGGAGGGGGAGGTTTGGGCTACGCGCAGCTCTAATGGCACTGTCCTCGGGGGCCCCATCCGTGCCCCTCGCCGCATCCCAGTCGCTGCTTCGGACGTGGCACCTGCTGGCACCGGTGCGTGGTGTGGCAGCTGAGGACAGGTTGGAGCCCATTCAGTTTAGGGTTTTTTTCTCATGAAGGGGACTGGACGGTAAGGAGAAGCCAAATCCGTCCTTGCGGAAAACACAGTGCCCCAGCAGATGCTCACCAGCGGCGCTTGCCTCCTTTCACCCCCGTCAGCCCCAGGAGGGGGGCCCTTTGGGGCAGAAAGTTCATCTCAAGGCTGCAAAAATGAGCCCAAACGTTGGTGGTGCCCCTTTGGCTTGGAAATGAGCCCAGGTGTGGGCCAACCTGCCCTGCGGGGCAGCGGGAGCCGGATGCTTCCTCCGAGCAGTGGCGGTGAGCACAGGGGGTGCAGGGATGGGAGGGAGGGACAGGGACCCACCCATGCACATCGCTGCACAAATACATTCAGGAAAAAATAAAATGTGCTTTTTTTAAAGAAAAAAAAAGTTCAATTACACTACACAGAGAAGGTTTCTCCCCATCGCCCCACCTGCAGCTGGGATGGCTGGTGCTGCACCCGCCGACGGCTCCTTAACGCTGCCCCCTTCTTCGCACTCGGCCCTATGCTCTCATAGAATCATAGAATCGTTTAGGTTGGAAAAGACCTTTAAGATCATCCAGTCCAACCATTAACCTACACTACCAAGTCTACTCTAAGCCAATCAAGGGTAGACTAGACTAAACCATGTCCCCAAGTGCCGTGTCTACCCGTTTTTTGAGCACTTCCAGGGATGGTGACTCCACCACCTCTCTGGGCAGCCTGTTCCAATTCTTGACCACCCTTTCCGCAAAGAAATTTCTCCTAATTTCCAACCTAAACCTCCCCTGGCGCAGCTTAAGCCCATTTCCTCTCGTCCCATTGCTAACTACTTGCATTGCCTCCCCCCTACAAAAATCATTCACTATTATTTATTTATACCCTTTATTACTGAGGCCGTTGGCTGAGGCTGCCCTGGGTTCCAGTGCTGTGGAGGAACCAGGAGGGGCCCCAGGAGGGCGGCCGGACCCTGCACCACATGGGGTGAAAGCCATGGTGGCGCCTGCGGGGCTGCAGCCAGGGCTTGGGCACCGCCTCCTGCTTTCTTGCTCCTTTTCTTCCCCTCTTTCTTTCTTCCTTTCTCTTTCTTCCTCCGGAAGAAAAGGTCTCCATCAGCATCTAAGGAAATAAATCCCATTTATTATTTATTGCTATCAAAATGTGTCAGCTTGCCTCGGGACACAAAAAGAATATACAATAGCCTGCTAACAGAAGATTAAAAACTTTGGGTGGAAAAAGTATGGAGCGATGTTTAGGCAGAGAAATGCGGGCACTTTGCTGCTCTGCCTTGAAGGGAGAGGCGATGGGCTGTGCTTACAGGGAGACTTGTATGGTGCGAAGCCCCTCGAAAAGTGTGCGGCGCTGTGCAGGGGTGAGAAGCCTGCCGCCCCGGCCCTCTGGCTCTCCCTTTTTTAGCGAGGTTTCATTTATCACCATTTGATTTTTCGTCAGTGGAAGTAAAGGCTGAAAGCCCTGTTCTGGCCATAAACACCAAAGTCCGCATGTGAGCCCTTTTTTCCCTCAGAAGGATGCTCCATAGTGCGGTGGGTGATGAAGTTGCCGTGAGCGTGGTGGTGACAAAGTATTTATACCGAATTTCGACACGTTGGGCATTTTCGCCTTTCTTTCTCCAAATGCGAACGGTGCCAAATTGCTTTTGTATTGCTGATATATAATCCTCAGAAATTTTCAATCTTCTCGCAAGCTCATTGTTATTGCACAGATATCCTGAAGGGATTACTCGCATGTCATGAAACAATGGCCTTTTAAATTCCTGTTACTGGTGGATCTGGCTGCTTAGTCTCTTCCTTAAACGTAAATGTTCTTGATGATGCGACAAGAAAGGGACTCGGGGAGCATTACTGAGGCGGTGGGTTCGTCCGATGTCTTTTATCTGCCGAAGACAAGCCAAGACTGGAAATATTTATTGGTTCAGTACTTCAGCAACACGCTATTAATTGCCTCTGCGTGTTTTGATAGGTAGTTAGCACAAGGGTATTAATGAAAATAGCACCACTTCATTTTAAAATTAACTGCTTGGCCATTCAGCAACGTGAGCTGATGAATTATGGCAATAAATTTGCGGTGGAGATTTATGCCACCGTAACTTGTGCTTGGGCCTGCAGGTGCGCGCCGGCCGTGCCGGGGGGGCGGGAAGACGGGGCCACGGCTGGCACCCCCCACCTCCCTTACCCATAGGCAGCTCCATCAGTTTTTTAAATCCTTCCAGAAATTTGGGTCCAGGAGTTTTGTGACCTTTTGGGTCAGTTTTGGTGCTCCTTTAAAATAAATGATGCTCAGAGGGCAAAGGGACCCTCCTTGCTGCAGGCGGCTGGAGGCACGGCCAGCGGGGTGTTCTGAGCCACCTCCCGTTCCTCCGGACGGATGGAAACGGAGCTGAGCTTTCCCCGTTGTTATTTTTATCGAGGCCATTGGAGACAAGAGGGGCCACCTGATAATCCATGCAATCATCCCCGCTTTCACAAAAACCTTTGAGGTACGGAATCAGGCTGCTGGTGCTGCAAACTGGCAAGATCTAACTTGTAGTAGGAGTAGTAGTAATAGTAGCCAGTGGATGTCCTCTCACTTGCCAGCGCTGGACCCAGCATGTATTTATTTCTGTCTCACTCTTCCCTCCCACAGGGCAAAGCATTACAGCATTCAGGTCACACCCAAACACACCCCTTTCTCCGGGTTTGGTTTTTTTTTTTTTGCACGATTTGCTCAGGACAGGAGGTGATGCGGGGGCAGAGGCCGCAGCCCACCCTGTGCCACAGAAATATTCATCTGCAGAGGCACGAACGGCAGCTCCCTGCCTTGGGCAGCGAAGAAATTGGAAAATGTTCCTATAAATGTGATTCATACGATATAACACCTGCCTGCATATTGCATTATCCAAACTGATCAGGGTGAAGGAGACGCAGCCAACTCTTTTGGTATATGGCATTTAATTTTTCGCCCCTATTGTTCATTATTTCCCCACAGAAATTTCAGAACCCAGCGCCTTTTTTTGCCTTCCAAAGCTAAAGAAACGCTCTTCTTCCAAAATGCTGCATTTTGTTATTGGGTGGAAGATGCGCAACTTTTAGAGAACCTTCAGCTGGATGTTGCATTTATAAATAAATGTGACAAACTTAATAGGGCAGGATAGGTATTTGAATTATTGATTGTTAAATATTTAAGCTCCGAGTCCCCATCCATCAGCATGTGTGAGAAAGCTCAGGGCAGATTTATGATGCTGGAGTTTTCCTGGTTAGCTGGCACTTGGCATTTCGATTAATTATAGCCCACACATTTGGTTTTTTTTCAGGATTTGTTAGAAGCATTTATAAAAGATGTCCCTATTATACCATTTAAATATTGTTTGTGCAACTGGAACATGTTTTCTATTGGGGATTAATACACTGTTTGATTTAGGAGAAAATTAAATTAGAAGGTGTAAGTCTCGGGAGACAAATGCTTTATTTGAAAAGGGTTTCCACCACTGGAAAGCACAAAGTTTTTCTTCTATGTATAAATATTTTGCTCTGGGTGTTTCCCAGGGTCTGCTGGTGAGCGGGAAGTCTCAAAAGTGCCCTCCGTGATGGGGAGCGGGAGAGGAGATACACGGCAGGGAGGGGGCAGGATGAAATATGCTGTATTTATTAAAATTAAGGGATTTAGAGCCTCCGCCTCCATTGATTTCCCTGGGAAGGATGTGAGCCCTGCGGCTGCGCCCGCAGCCCTGGGGCAGGAAGGGTCTGTGCAAGGGGAGGAAACCGCCCGGGGCCCTCGGGTCAATACCATGCCTCCAAAAAAAAAAAAAAGCCTCCCGAAATATGTAGCTGTATGATAGATTGTAATTGCTCAAGAAGAGCCATTATGGCCCATTATGTCAATACTCTGCATTTCCAAAGTGCTTTAATTAATACATATTTACATCAGGTAATAGCAGGAATTTCTCTGAGCCAT